GCCTGTTTCTTGCCTGTCTAAAAATAAGCCTTGGTGACTAGCTTGGATATGGGTGACTAACATCAGGGGGTTGAATATCTTCCTGTGGTTTCCATGTTTTTCCTTCATTGCTCATGCTTCTCCCCTCTCTCCGTAAGTGGAGTTTAAGCAGGCCAGTTTCTCACGCTGCTCCAGTTCTGAGAAGCTTGACTTCTTGAGCAAAAGCATCCTTTTGTATTTTTTGCTAGCTCTCATTGGGAAAATAAATGAAAAGCCGAAAACAGATTACCCCAGTGCGAAACAAGATCATCTGAGCAAGCCAGCAGGATGTGTCACCCAGAGAGTTTGTAGTGGAGGATTGCAACAGCATGGAGACATTTTTCATATGCAAGGCTGTGTGCATGCATGTGTGTGTATAACTCCTTCCTTTCCAGCTCTGTAGTTCTGACTGTGTTTCTGGCATGTTGCACATGTTCATGGCATAGAATCTGACACCAGGGATAAAACTCCCTCTTTAAGGGGCTTGCTGCTTATCTCGGAAACAATGCTGATGTTAAATGAAATGTTGCAAGTGTTCTTAGAGTTTGAAGAAGAAGAATTCTGCCTGTGATATGTAATATCCTCATGATTCAGAGTTGTGCTGAGCAAGACAAGCATGAGTTAAGGTTCTGGCCTGTGGTGAAATAAAGTTGTGTATACCTTGGGGTGCCAAGGTCTTTCCTCGCACAGATTGTGTGTTCTTGGTAAAACACAGGACTGTGTTGGTGGATGTGATAGGTCTGGTACTATGATCCTTGAGTGTGGAGCATTGTGATGCTGTTTGGAAAAATATTTGCTATTTACCTTCTTGATGTACAGTCTTTTTTTTAATGGTAGGTCTAGCTAGGCTCCTGAGCATAGGCAGATTTTCCCCAGTGCTCGGTACCCATTTTCAAAGTCTGTGCCTCTGCTGCTGAGCTGGGGTGACCTCAAAGCCAGGTGTGAAAGCAGAGCTACTCTTGGATCCTGCTAGTGTGACCAGGCTGATACTTACAGGGTAATACTTTAGGTGCTTCATCAGGCCTGAAAGCACATTAAAAGGCATATTTTTTTGACATGCAATGCTGGCCCCTTCACCTTCCTGTATCCCATCTGCCCTGTGGCACTGTCGCATGCCAGTCTGTGGACAAGCAGAAATTCTAGGGTCATGCCTAGTAAAAACCCCTGTTGCCTGCTGCAAAGGTAGATTAGATTCATAAGCATCATTCAGATGGGCTCAGTAGGGAATTTGAACATTGTTTGTTTTCAAAAGCACCTCAGCTTTCAGGAGGCTCCTGGAACCTGTCTGCTCAAATAGGTGCAGAGGTTGCTGGGATTGGCTGAGTGCTCTGACTGTGTTTACTGAGGTGCCTCTGTAGTTGATGTGGGATTCTGAGTGTATTTTCATGTTAAAAAATGAATTTTGTCACCCTTACCTTGAGTCAGGACTTCATCCTTCTGGTTTGCATCCTGCTTCTGAATTGCTCCTTAGTCAAGTCCTCTGCACACCACTCTTCAGCTGTGTCAAGGCACAAGATCAGCCCATACAAACATGAAGACCCATAATGGTCTTAATTTTTCATTTATCAGAGTAGGTCAAATAACACAAGGGAGTTACAGAAAGGGCATACCCTCACAGTATACCCTCATGGTACACTGAAGTCCATCCCACTTAAACTAATGTGTTGGAGCTCTCTGGGAGGTGGAAATGCCAGAGATTACTTGTCACTAAAGAGCGAGAGCAGCGCTTTAAAAAGGGAAAATCTTGGCACCAAACAAACCTCATTTCTTTCCACAGCTTAGTATTCAGCGTTAGGACAAATTAATCTCTATTGAAATCTGCTGTACTTGCCACTAAATTTGTTGCCTCTTCTAAAAGCACCTCTTCTCCTGTGAAGGGAGGTGAGCAGAAAGTGTACATATATATTCAGTTTTAATGCATCCTAGAAAACTCTTTATTGTATGTTCAACATTAACCTTTACATTCACATCTGTAAATAATGCTATAAAAGTGAACTGGGCCAGAGAGACCTTTCAGGAATTTGTTCTGTCGTACAGCTTTGAGACTCAATCATTTGGTTAAAATTCAAAGTGGGTGCCTAGAATAAGTAGGTGAATAAATAAATAAAAGTTCTTGAAATGAATAATATCCTCCTTATCTCTTTATCTGAAATCACCTAAAGGCTGCAAGTTCAATTTAATCCTTCTACTGTCAGTCTGAGCTTTAATAGAAAGAAGGGGGGG